AGACGAGAGTGTGAGGCCGATCTCCTGACAGCCAGCCTTTCCTCAGGAAGCATGCATGTGTGAGAGACCAGAGCTCCCTTCCTCTCACTGAGGACACCAGTCCTGCTGCATCAAGGCCCCACCCTTAGGACTTCAATTAACCTTAATCCCCTCCCTAAAGGCACCATCTCCATAAACAGTCATACTGGGGGTCAAGGTTTCAACAGCGACTTTGGCAGAGGGACACAATTCAGTCCTTAGCAGTGAGGGTGTGCAGGGTGGAGGGGAGCGGGATCTTTCCTGGGTGACTCTGTGGGAATGTGCAGGGCCCATGGCTACTTTGCACCTTTCAGCATAACCATCACCTCCCCCCCCAGGTAGGGGAACTTGGGGTCCTGCTCTTTGCATAGACATTTGCTGTAGGGCTGTGTTCCCCCTGCAGTGTCCCTGCCTCCATGGTCTGCTTTCTGCTAGGTGACTAGGTCACAAGTCTTGTGGAGGAACTTCCACTGCAAACAGCTAATGATCTTGGGTACCCATTGTCACCCTGCTGCTTTTGTGTTGGAACCCCTGCCCTTTCCTAGCACCCCCTTCCTGCCCCCCTGCTCTGTGCTAGCGTCCGTCAAGATCAGCAGTGCTTGCTCACTGCCATTTAGAGAACATTCCCACCATCTCCATTAATTGAGTCTTTTCCCCCTGAGTCAGGGTCACGGCAAGTTAGGTGTGCACCAAGGGCAGGAGAGGAGGCTGTATGGGAAGCTGATGACAAGGTGGGGTGACATACTCACAGGCTTTCAGAGGACGAGCCCCAAGGCGGGGCCCAGACTTGGCTAAACTGAGGGACACAGACTGTGTGTCTCATTCAGCATCAGCTGCTGTCCTTGGGCCCTGCTTCCTCGAGGATGGGAGCTGGACTGGGCCATCCAGGCTGCCACCTGGCTCACCCTGGAAGCATGTGCTTAAGTGCCATGTCTGCCCAACACCTTTCTTTGCTAGGTGTTTCTTTCATGACCATCAGACATGTTCAGGCAATATGTACTCATGATACATTTGGAAAAAATCAAAAAGTAAAAACAAAAAAACTTAAAAAAATAATTTAAAAGTCCTTTTGCCCATAGACAGCCATGGAAACTGTCTTCACCAAGCTTCATACTTATGCTGTGTATCTGTGTCTGTGTTAGCTCTGTTCATTTAAGCCCTCCTGAGTATGACAGGCGTGGCTAGGGGCTGCACAACCTCCCATTCCCCTTGGAAGATGTGCTGGATTTTACCTAGACACACACACCACAGGCTGGGTGGCCGAAACACCAATTTCCCACAGCTCTGGAGGCTGGGAGTCTGGGATCAGGATGCCGACAAGACTGGGGTAGGGCCCTCTTTGGGGCTGCAGACTTCTCGCTATGTCCTTGCCAGGTTAAGAGGGTGAGGGAGCTCTCTGGGGTCTCTGTAAGAGCACTAATCCCACTCTGAACCCATCCTAATCACCTCCCATAGGCCCCAAACCCTCAGAGCGTCACACTGGGCACTAGGGTTTCAATATATAGATTGTGGCTGGGTGGGTGGGTGAGGGAGGAGACAGACCATAGTAGCTTTTGTAAATTTTTTTTCTATTAAAAATCACGGTGATGTTAGTGGTAAAACCATTTTATATATTGAAACTGTTTAGAAGTGGGAACAGAGGAGGCAGAATATGAACATCTTAAAGCCCTTGATATTGCCAAACTGTGACCCAAAGCACAGCCTCTTCAACTGCCTCTCGTGGGCCAGTCCCTGGTGACGCATCAGTGAGCACCAAGAAATTACAGGTGTAACCACCAGGTGCTGATCCAAGTGCTCATGCCAGGCACCAGTCTAAGTACTTCTGTGTGTCAACATTAACTCACAAGTGTGAAGTTACCCCACTTCACAGGTGATAATGCACAGAGGTATGACACTTGCCTGCTGTCAAAACAGCCGGTGGGGGTGCTGTCAGCCTTCCCTCCCCACCTGGATGGGACTTCCCTGTAGTAGTGTCCCTGGTCTGCTGACTGGGTGAGTGACTGAGAAGGGCAAGGAGGATCACCGGGGGCGGGAGGGCTTCAAGAGGCTCTCCCTGCTGCTTCACGTGCCTTGAGTGGCTACTGGCCCCAGTATGAGGACACACATTTAGGGGTGAAAGCCATGGAGATTTAGGGGCTTCTGCTGTGCAGTTAGTGAAATTTGGCAGGTGCAACCAGGAATGGAGCCCTAGGGTCTGAGCCAGGCTCATCCCCCAGCAGGGTGCTCCACGCTCATGCCACCAAAGGGCCCTGTGGCTGGGGCCCCGTGGTCCTAAATCATACACCTACCTGAGCAGAAGAGAGGCACTTCCCAGGCTGCCCTGTTGTTGGCATACATGAGAAACACGCACAGCCCCTTCCCAAGAGGCCTCGCGGGGAGGACAGAGCTCTCACTTGGAGCCCACCTCAAGGCTCTCAGCAGTTCTTGCAGGTAGAGGACACTTCCACTCACGGAGAGGCCAGTGGAGGCTCAGAGTTACTGGAGTCAGATAGCAGGCAAGCGCCCAGATCTGCACACCCCTTCTCTGCCTGCGGGTCACAGAGGCCACCCCCTACCCCATCCTTGTGCACTGGACCGGGGTTACCTCTCTGCAGAACCCTGGAGGGCCTAAGGAGTCAGTAGACTCCGGAGGGCCCTCAGCCCTTTGGAGCCCAGCATCTGGTCACGTGCAATCTGCTCCTGCTGGGCTCCAGACACATGAGGGGTGGGGGGTAACATTGTGTCCACTCACCAGCCGCCTACTGGAAGGGACAGTCTGTGCTTTTGGTCTTTCAGCCAGTAATGGTGGGGTCAGAGCATTGCTTTCCATCCCTGGTAGACTGGACAAGGCAGCCCTGACCACACTGTCCCTCCCACAGCACCACAGCAAGGCAGCCCTTCCCTCCATTTTCCCTGCTGCTCCACAGACCCACTGTGGCAGGAGACGGCTGCGAGGGAACATGTCAGCTTTCCAGGTCACAAGGATTCTGTCAGCTCTACCAACGTTGCTTGCAAGCGGCCAGATGCTATGTAAATGAATGGGCACAATTATCTTCTTACTTTCTTACTGGCACTGAAAATTTAATTTCATAGGTCATGAAATCATCTTGTTTTCAATCATTTAAAAACCATTCTTGATCTCTGGGGACATACAAAACCAGGTGGCAGGTGGCTGGTGGCTCTGTTACACCTCCCTCAACCCAGCCAGGCTGGGGTGGGTGGATCTTGTGTGCCCAAAGGACTCGCCTAAGCTACAGAGCAACTGTCTACCCTCATCTGTGGTCGATCCCTACCACGGACAGGCCTTGAGTTCCACCTTTGTCTCCAGCCTGCACAGTCTTATACAGAGAATAGACATTTGCACTTGGAAAATTACCCTTTTCCATTTTCTTGATCTTATTTAGATCTCTGTGAAAAAAGATTTTTCAAAAATAATCTCTGCACTCAGCGTGGGGCTCAAACTCATGACCCCGACATCAAGATGTGCGTGCTCCACTGACTGAGCCAGCTGGGTGTGGAAACCCTTGATGCCAGTGTTATTTCCTTTCTTCCGAGTGTCTAACATCCCAGCCTCAAAGCTCCCCAAATACAGCATTTACTCGTTTGACAAAAATTTCCTAGGCTCAGAGTGCAAGCCACACACACTGTGTAAACTCACCTGGGCTCTGCACCCCCACACCTTTGTGAAGCTTCCAGGAAGCTCGGTGCTTCCAATCCAATTTCATAAAGCTTAACCTGATCGAGTAAAAAGTAACTTCAGGTCAAAATTACGGGTTTATTGCCTCCAAAAGAAAAATCCAAGGTATTTTAATATCTACGCTGAGATAGAGTTCTAGGTATTATTAGAAACATTTACTGTTGCATTTACTGAAGCCCAAATTGGGAAATAGTTTGAAAGAAAACAGAATTGGGGCGCCCGGGTGGCCTAGTCGGTTAAGCGTCCGACTTTCGCTCAGGTCACGATCTCGCGGTTCATGGGTTCGAGCCCCACGTCGGGCTCTGTGCTGACTGCCAGCTTAGAGCCTGGAGCCTGTTTCGGAGTCTGTGACTCCCTCTCTCTCTGACCCTCCCCTGCTCATGCTGTCTCTCTCTCTCTCTCTCCTAGAAATAAATAAAACATTAAAAAGAAAGAAAGAAAACAGAATATCCAAAACCTTGCAGTACCCTCCAGAAGGCCCTCCCCACTCCCTCTCTGCAGAAGGGCCACCTGCTCACATGACCTGCACAGATGCTCTTCATGGGTTCCAGGGATCCCAAGCCGCATGCATTTTAAGTGCTGAGGCAGCTTGCTTTCACGAAGTCTTGCCGGGCAGGCCAGTATCGCACATCTCTTTTACATGGATGCAGCTAGGGATTCCTCACCCTATACTTCTGCAGGGGAGGCTCTAGATTGGAATGTAGGATTTTAAGGTTGTTTCTATTGAATTCTTGGTTGTACTGGGACATTTAAATGAACAAACCACGCTAAGAGTTGAGAGGAAAAATAATTCCTCAAAGGTTGAAGGGCATCAAGTTTCTACCCGTTAATAAGGCAAGAGGGGCGCCTGGGTTGCTTAGTCGGTTAAGCGTCTGACTTTTGCTTAGGTCATGATCTCGCGGTTCGTGGGTTCGAGCCCTGCATCGGGCTCTGTGCTGACAGCCAGCTCAGAGCCTGGAGCCTGTTTCAGAGTCTGTATCCCCCTCTCTCTCTGACCCTCCCCTGCTCACGCTGTCTCTCTCTCTCTCTCCTAGAAATAAAAATATTTAAATTAAAAAAAAACAAAAAACAAAAAAAACAAGGCAAGACCAGCAAGTGTGAACTTGGCTCTTGAGTATAGGAGTGGCCAGAGCCAACCTGCACACAAAAGGGCCACCTCTCTTCCAATTAACTTTATTTGATCACACTGAAATTTGATTTCAATATAATTTTCAAATGTCACAAAAAATAGTCAGTTTTCCCATTTAAAAATGTAAAAAACCCTTCTTAGCTTTTAGGCCTTTTAAGAGGTAAACTGAGGAACATCAAATTTTTAAAGAGTTTATTTGCGCAAACACGGCCTGGAGCGAGGCAGGACCACGCTGAAACACCGGGGGCGCTGTGCCGGTCGGACATAAGGGGAGGGGTTTACAGAGAAGACGCAGGAGCAAAACTGGGAAACGGACTGGTTATGGCTTAAGCAGTTGCCTTATTCGGGAAGGTTCAGCTGACTGACTGTGATTAGGTGTTTCATTTTCTGGGAAAGCTTCATTTTCTCAGACAGGAGTGCATTTACAGGAATGGACTCCGGCTTAGATTTTAGTCTGCTTGTGTAGTTACCAAGGCATGAGAGCCACCCAGTCGAATGGCCTAGTGCGGATCTTCACAGGCTGCATCAACTCAGGGAGCAAACAGCATTTAGCCCACAGGCTATAATTTACCAGCCCCTGATCCAGAACCATGTCAATCCAAAGAGAGAATCCACGTGCTGAAGATTTAGGTTCCATCTTCTGGCCCTTCCCGGCTGGTTGCTGTTACAGGACAGAAAGCACCAAGCTCAGGCTGGAATCTGGAAGAGTTCATGTCACTTCCCACCCCTCTGTCCCACCGTTACCGAGAAGTGGCAGAGACAGGATTCCTTTCTGGGAGTGGCACATTCAGTGACCAAACTGCCTTCCTAAGGGTGGGCCCACAAAACCTCTTGCACTGACCCTTTTGGACACACTTCTGGGTGGAGTAGGTGCAGCTAGAGAGGTAGTTACAGCTACTGAAATGGGCACAATGATTTCACGGCATCCTGGCACCTGGGAGTGCAGGTACGGGCCAGGGGGACAATCTGCATCCCTAGAACCAGCACTGCGGTCCGAGAACACATCACACGTTGTGCCTGGCTGAGCGGCTGGGCTGACCTTGTTGTAGGGCTGAGATCCCATCCACATATTAGAAACACAAACACACAGACTTGACCATCCTGAACTCTACTGTTCCTAATGCCAGAAAATTGTGGAATCTCCCAATGCAAACACAGGGATTAGCCATCCCGTTTTCCACTTGATACAAATCCAGAACCTGCTGCTGGGCTATACCACACATGGCCATCGAGGCTGTGTCTCAGGGAACTACCTACAGGCTTAACCATGCCAAGTGATGGTGACCCAAATCAAGTGTTGCAATAAATCCTGAAGTGACTGACCTGTGTCCCTCTGGGTTACCTTTCTGTATGTGGGAGAAATGGGCCTCTCCATTGGGACAAGGGGGAAGGGTCTCTGGCCCAAATTTCACCCTTCCGATAACTGGCAATGACACCAAAGATCGGCAGGTCTTGAGTGAGTGGTTGTGGGTAGCGGCCAGTCTGAGTAAGACTTCTGGTCCCCTGGAACTTTATCACAGTTGGTGGATCCAGGATGCTGAGGGCAGGGCCACCATCAACACTGATTAGCCTCATTCTGCTGGTGAGCAGTCTGTCTCTACCTCCACCAGCCTCTGGGAAAAGGCAATGGGCTCACTTGCAGCTTGCAGACCCTCCCGGTTTTGCCAGTTTGTGTAGTAGGAGTTCTGAGGAGTCCAGGAAGCAGCCTGGCCCCCAGATGCATCCACTGGGCTCATGTGAGCTGTTTCCGCACTGCTGAGGCCAGGTCCACACTGGGTTCCTCGGGAGATGCTGGCTCGGGTCTCAGTGGGGTGGGGGCGGGGGGGAGCTCTCCCACACAGTCCAATTCTTACGATCACCCTATAACAATGCTCAGAGAAGCAGACAGACTCTGGATTTCATGGAGGACAGTGACACCCGAGTCACAGAGCAGGTCCCTGGGCACGGGTGCTATTCCTGGAGTGGCAGCGCTGATCCAAGCTCCTGTCTGAAGAGGCTGGTACCAGGGCCTCTGGCTGCATTCCCAGGTTGCAGCCTTGGAAGGCTGACTTGGAAGAAAAGGAGTCAGGTGAAGAAGGCAGGAGAAAGGAGCTCTAGGCAGCTTCCTCTGGGCTTCTGCCAGCACAAGCTAACACATCTTTCCTGCTGAAGGCAGTCTGAGGAGCTGGTGCTAAGGGAAGACACTTGGGGCAACTTCTAAGCTGTTCATCTGGCAGAGTTCACAGGCCTCTTCCCATGACTCTTCCTCATCCACAGGACCTGGGGCCTTTCTTCTGTGAACTCGAAAGTCTACATACATGCACCCTGACTTGAGGGACACAGACTTTGCTGAGTGGGACAAGGTCACACATTCCAGCAAAGAAATATCCACTTTGTATGAATTTGGACATTTTCTTTCTTACGGGAGCAATTCAGAATCTATCCCCACATTCTAAATTCATGTCAGTATAAATGATCCCATATAATATACGTAAGGTTAAGGCTGTAGGTTTATTCACATTTATACAGGTTTATAAAGACAGGTGGTCTATCCCATGTGAATTTTCTGATGCTGAGTCAGCCGTGAGCTCCGATTAAAAGCTTTGCCACATTCGTTACATTTGTAAGGTTTCTCTCCAGTGTGAATTCTCTGATGAATAATTAGATGTGAGCGCCACCTGAATATTTTCTCACATTCATTACATTTATGCAGTTTCTTTACAGTGCTGACTTTTCTACGGCTCACGTGGGCAGCAGCTTCCAGGGTATTCCCGTATTCGTGATACCACTGGGCACGGGTGTGGATCCTCTGGTGCTCGATAAGATAGGAACTCCGGCTGAAGGCTTTCCCACACTCACTACAGCCATAGGGCTTCACTCCTGCATGAATTATCTGGTGTTGGAAAAGGGTTGAGTTTTGACTGAAAGCTTTCCCACATTCCGTACACTTATAAGGTCTCTCCCCAGTGTGGACCCTTTGATGTATCGTGAGCTGTGTGCTCATACTGAAAGCTTTTCCACATTCGATGCACTCGTAGGGCTTCTCTCCCTTATGGATTCTCTGATGGTAAATGAGACTTGAGCTCTGGCTGAAGGCTTTTCCACAGTCACTACATTCATAGGGTTTCTCTCCGGTGTGAATTCTCTGGTGCTGAATTAGGTGTGAGCCCTGGACAAAGCCTTTCCCACACTCATCACACTTAAACGGTTTTTCTCCAGTGTGAGTTCTCTGGTGGCGAATAAGCCGTGAGCTACAACCAAAGGCTTTTGCACACTTATTGCATTTGTAAGGTTTCTCTCCGGTGTGGGTTAGCTGATGCTGACTCAGGCGAGACACCCACCTGAAGGCCTTCCCACACTCATCACACTTAAATGGTTTCTCTGTAGCATGGATTCTCTGATGTGGAACATGGCTGGGACTACCTGGGCTTCTTGGAAGTTGAAGTTTCTCCCCCGCGTGCATCCGCTGGTGCTGAGCCAGGGTTGAGCTCTGGCTGAAGGCCTTCCCACACTCCTGGCACTGGTAAGGCCTCTCTCCGGTGTGGGTCCTCTGGTGTCTGACCAGCTGAGACTGCTGGCTGAAGGCCTTCCCACACTCCCGACAGCCGTAGGGCCTCTCTCCTGTGTGGACCCTCTGGTGGTGGATGAGGCTGGAGCTCTGACCAAAGGCCTTTCCACACTCCTCACACCTGTAGGGCTTCTCTCCAGTATGAATTCTTTGATGCTGAATAAGTTTTGAGCTCAGACGAAAGGCTTTTCCACACTCAATGCATTTGAATGGCTTCTCTCCAGTGTGGATTCTCTGATGCTGATTAAGCTGTGAGCACAACCTGAAGACTTTCCCACATTCTTCACATTCGTACGGCTTCTCTCTGTGGCAGTTACTTCGAGATTTCCCCTGTAGGCAATCAGGTAATTTTTTTTTACATTCTGGACATCTGTTAGGTTTGTTCGGTGTATTAAGCTCCTGCGGCAGAGCAATGTCCGAAGTAGATCTGAAACTCCTGCCACACACGTCACAACTTCGGGCCGGCCATTCTGCACCACCTCCCTTACTTCTGTCAGGATGACAACCCAGTACGCCACTGCCCTCCCGCTCGCCACGTCCCTGGGCACCCTCCTTGGCGAAGGTCTTCTTGGGAGTCACAGTCCCAGTGTTCAAGCAGTTTTTCTGGAGGAGGGAGCTTGGCTTGCTCTCTGACCAGACCTCAGAATCAGAGGTATCTCTAAAGCCAGAATTCTGAGGAAAACCTTGTGGGGGACTTCTGACCAAGGCCACACAGGGTTCTGATTTTACAACATCCATGTCCTCACAGGCCTGCTCACTTGCAATCCCAACAGCAGAATCTGAAATAAACAGGAAATAAATGGTTCTTATCCCCTGTTTAGAGAAAGGACAAAAGACCAGGGGCAGGGGTGGGGGCTGCAGATCATCCCTGGGAACTGAGCTCCAGGACACAATGTATCAAGGAAGAGTATACCCGCAAGGAAAAACACTACCAGAAGTCAGGCTTTGGACAGCTCTCAAAATTTAGCTTTGTTAATACTTTGACTTCATGCATTCAACTACCGTGTGCTCCTGCGTGGGGGCTATGTCGGCGTGTGCTCCTGCGTGGGGACTATGTTCCTGTGGGGAACTGGTATGAGTGAAAATCCATAAAGAACCTTTGAGCTGGAGAGCCTGGCAAGTGTGGTAAGAGGCAGGTTGAGCCTGAGGCGCCAGAGGCTCCTGGGTCCAGAAAAGGTGGGATGAGGGGAGATAACGGGCAGGCTCCAAGGAAGATGAGGCTATACAGCTGGTGTGGGGTACACCTGGGGGGAGCCTGAGGGGATGGGTACTGAGCGGGACCCAAGACCTGAACTTGGCTTCTTCCAGCTGCTGCCAAGCCACCTTCTCTGATGCACACCTTACCATGTACGTCCATCACTAGCCAGCCCATCAGCTCCCAGGGCGCCACACCCCGTGGCCTATCCTGCCTTCTCATTCCTTGGGGTTCCAGACAGTCCACCTACCCAACCGGCCCCCACTAGGCCTTCCTGACATCTGCCTTCCTTCTGGACTCTCCAAATAGTGTCAGCCCCTCAACTACTCTGCAGTCCCAGAGAGCACCCTTGCTAAAGTCAGACCCCTCCTTGGTGTCCGTGATCACACCCAGGGTCATAACGAACATCACAACCAACTTCATAACCAGTACGATAACCACCGTTATAACCAGCCCATTTCTACCCCAGTGAAATTCTCCAGGGGCCCAGTTACAGGGCTTCTGGTGGCTCCTAACATCAGTGCCCTCTCCAGCTTGGCGATCCTAAGTTCTCAGTCAGTCCTAGGGTGCAGAAGAGGCGTCACACACTGAGCATCTTCTGTGCATAAGGAACACTTAGTCTTCGTGACAATCCAGTGAGGTCGGCAGTAGGTCAGAGAAGGAGCATGCGGTTCCCCAGTCACACAGCTAATTAGACAACCAGGAATGGACCCAGTTCTGTTCCCCCAACTCATGCCCCTTCAACCTCTCTGTGACCTTATAACACGGGGCATCTCCTGCCTGCCCCTGTGGCACAACCACACAACGTTGGCAAACCTGCTCTTTCAACAGGGCAGGAGTGGCCATTCGGTGCTGGCTCACTCCACCCTCTGCCCAGGCCTCCCTGGACTCTGCAGATGAGAGAGTGGACGCATACTGCTCTCCTCTGCCTCCTGCTGGAAAGCAAGAGGCCTCCAAGAGCACAGTGGAGATGCCCATAGCAGTGAGCCTAGGACCTCCCACTATACAGGAGGGAGAGACAACCCACGTGGTTAAGCAGCCACAAACCCACCCAACTCCCGTCTGGAGTCTCCCTCCATCTGACTTCCTGTAACCAAGTCTGTGAGGAGCCTCCTTACACACCAGGCTTCCCCTTGGGCTCAGCTAGCCACATGGTCCCTCCCCTCTTTGGGCCCATGTCACACTCGTACCCAGCATGGCCCATTTTTTTCCTGTCCCTACTTACTGGGGATGCCTTCTCTGCCCTGCCAAAGACCCTCTCCTGACCAGCCCAGGCAGGCTCCTCTGAGCCTTTCTCAACCAGGCCTATCCTCGGCCCATAAGGACAAAAGACTAATGTCGCTTCTTACAGCTCAAGGCTTCCTCCCTAGGATGACCCTAGCCCTCCTTAAGGTGTGTGTCTGAGAAAACTCAAGGCTGTTTATTCCAGCCACATCTGAGGGACAGGCTGTCTCCCGACCCCTGTGGGAGGGCAGGACCCAACTTCCACAAGCAGAGGTCAGCAGCCCAGATACGTGTCAGAGGGTCCGCTCCCTCCCACCTTTGTAATCCATCACTTGCCTGGCTCTGGCTGAACCCTGCTCACCCCTGGCCTGCTCCGGTCACGTCTGAACAAATGGAAGCCGAGTTCAAGTTCGCTGGGCTCCTTTCTCCTTTGCAGTTAATTACTATGGATTATAGAAATCTATCCTCACCACTTTAACTCGTGCCTAGCTGTGTTTATCTATGTAGGACACTGACCACAGGGCCCCTTGGCGACTCATAATTGAAGCTCAGAGTTCTCACCCTGCCCTAGAACTTGAAAGCCTTTCTACAAGATCTGGATAATCTGAGAAGATACAAGCACATGTTAAAAAACAGCCTCATTCTGGAAGTGGTTTTCCCTGACCTAGTGGCTCCAACTTACACAAAAAATATCCCGGGAAGAACCCAGATGACAGAGCAGCATGGAAGCCTCTTTTCTGTCTCATGTACATGAAATGTAGCCGGGGCAACAATAACCCAGCCCGCACACCTAGAAAACTGGTCTGAGGATGAACACAACGATCTGCACAACCTGAACCACAGAACTCAGCAGGTACGTGGCGCGGAGAGGTGAACTGGGGGAGAGACGAGACGTGGAGGGCAGGGAGCTGTTTTTGCTTGCGGGGTGAGGACAGAGACGGGGGTAGAGGACGGGAAAAGCACCCCCCAAAAAAGCAGCTGGAGAGAAAGTGGAACAAAGGTGGAAACAGCTGCAGGGACTGAACTAAGAAGGGAGAATGGAAGTGGTTTTCCCTGAGAGAAGAGATGTGTGTCCCAGCAGGCTGACAGACACTAAGGTCTCTTGTGCTGGGGACAACGTCTGTGGTGGTGGGTCAGGGGCGTGGCTCTGCACCCGCCTGCCATTCTGGGCCCCTCCTCAGCAACCTGCTGCACCAGCCAGGCACGGATAACATCTCTGGGTACTTACATTTTCCTGACGTTTACATCTGGGAGGCCACACCCCTGCCCGAGGTCCCAGGCTCGTGAGCAGGTCGACATCCACTGTGGGCAGGTTTTCTTTGCTGCTGCCTCGTCACCTCATCACATCTGCTGCCTATAAACCCATGGACCTACCCGATTCTGCCAGCTCCAGCAAGCTTTTCCACCATGGTACCCTCTTTGAAATCTTTCCTCCACCTTGGAAATATTTAATAGGAGCTGGGTTTTAACTGGGCTAGCCTACAGCTTTACCTCCTTCCCAAGAAGGATCAAAAAGGGGTCTAAACTGGAGGCGGGGGTCAAGGTTCCCAACACTCCTGCCCATACCCCCATACCTCAGGACATGAACCTGCTGAGGCCTCGATTTTGACCGTGTGCCTTCCAGAATTGTGAGACAATTAATCACTGTGGTTTTAGGCCTCAAGTTTGTGGTGCTTTGGTGCAGGAGCCCTGGGACCCAACACAGCCCTGAAGCCTGATTCGAGAGGGCGAGGTCACCCAGGACCCCAAGCAGTTCTGGAGGGAGCTGCTGGCGGGTGGGGGGCAGCTGTCTCCGGGATGACTGATGTTTGCCTGAGAGGTTGCTCAGGGCCGAGCTTAAGTGCTTCCCTTGGATTATTACCTTTGCACTTTGCTTAATAAGAACATCAGTAAAACTAGAAATTGAACAACATGTGCCTAAAAAGCAAAACCTGTCTTTGCTGTAACACGTAAGAGTTTCACGTCCCTGCTTTTCTGTAGTTCAGTCTCTGCCAATACAACCCCACGACTAGGCTACGGTTCTGTCAACGGGCCCACCTGTGGCCCCATGGTGCTCCCAGGCAGCCCAGCATGTCCTCTTGGCTGGTCCCTGGGGTCTGCCTTCAGCTTCTCACCCTCAACCCTTGCTGGGCACAGGTTCTCTGAACATCTCCTCACTCCTTTACCCAGAAGCCTCTCTGCCACAGGCCTAAGCCTCACCTGTAAGGGAGGTCCTTGCCACCTCTCTCCCCTCGACTCCCTTCAGGTCAAGGACCCATGGCTCCTGCCCCTGCTCCAACCGGGAGATCAGCTCAGGCTTGAAGACCAGGAATCCTGCTGTGGGGATGGCAGAGAAGGGGCCATGTCAGCATGGCTGAGGGTACATCCCAGGGCCCAGTGCTCTTGGTTTCCAGGCATAAAGAGGCAGGGGGCTGCTGGAGCACAGGCAGAGCCCCCAAAGGGAACCTCAGGGAGTAAGGGTCTGGACACAATGGCCCAGTGGCCCTTTCTGTCCAGATCTGTCCAGCTCCTGAATTTGGACAGTGAGAGATATGTGGACTCCCAGCCCATCCCCATCCACAGCAGGGCCAGGATCCTCAGGGGATCTACCACTAAAGAATCTGCAAAGAGCAGGCCAGCTCTAGCTTAGGGAGAAGGCAGCCAGGCACTGCCAGCACTTCCCTCAGCAGAAATGGCCTGTCCCTCAGTTCAGAGGGCAGCGACATTCCAGGAGGTAGGAGTAGCCAAGAAGCAAGATAGAAACAATAAAAATAAACCAACAAATGAACAGATTTTAATTCGGAAGGTGCCAAGCCCTCTAGTCAGGGCTTCCCTCCCCCAGGTTTCCAGCTGTGGGGGTGGAGAAGGGCAAGCAGAGAGAGCTTCCAGCGTAAAGGCCTCAGGTGCACACAGGACCCATGCTCAGCAGGAAACACATGCTCTCTCCAAGCACACACACAATGTCCGAGGTGAACAACCTTAGGCCAGCTGTGAAGGGAATCATGGTCCATAGGGCAATACGACACTGTGCCCCCAAACCAAAATATAGTTGAATGTGAAAGTAATGACAACACGGAGAGCAAAACTATTAGCTACTTGGGGCGCCTCGGTGGCTCAGTGTTGTACTTCGGCTCCGGTCATGATCTCACGGTTTGTGTGTTCGAGTCCCTGTGCTAGGCTCTGTGCTGACAGCTCAGAGCCTGGAGCTGCTTCAGATTCCGTGTCTCCTTCTCCTCTGTCCCTCCCCTGCTCATGCTCTGTTTCTCTCTCTCTCAAAAATAAATAAACATTTTTAAAAATTAAAAATTTTTTTTTTCAATGTTTATTTATTTCTGAGAAAGAACGCATGAGCAGGGGAGGGTCAGAGAGAGAGAGGGAGACACAAAATCTGAAGCAGGTTCCAGGTTCTGAGCTAGCTGTCAGCACAGAGCCCAATGTGGGGCTCGAACCCACAAACCGTGAGATCATGACCTGAGCCGAAGTTGAACGCTCAACCAACTGAGCCATCCAGGTGCCCCCCAAAATAAATAAACATTAAAAAAAAACAAAACAACAAAAATAATAAAAAGAAACATATTAAATCAATTTTGCTCATGAACAGGGATATAAAAATCTGAAATATAATACTTCCTAGCCGAGTCCAAAATAGTAGTTTATATGTAAAATATAATTCAAGTAGAGTTTACTCCAGAAATACAACAAAACATATTAATAAAATTTACTAGAGTAATAAGCTAAAAAAAATCATACAAATATTTCAATTGATGCAGAAACAGAATGTGAAATTAATATACTTATTTATGATTATGATTAACCAATTTCTTCTGATCTTAATTAAATGTATTCCCCTTTTAAGAAAAGTTTTTTTTGGGGGCGCCTGGGTGGCTCAGTCAGTTAAGCATCCAACTTAGGCTCAGGTCATGATCTCAAGGTTCGTGGGTTCAAGCCCTGCGTCGGGCTCTGTGCTGACAGCTAGCTCAGAGCCTGGAGCCTGTTTCTGATTCTGTGTCTCTCTTTCTCTCTCTGACCCTCTCCTGCTTATTCTGTCTGTCTGTCTGTCTCTCTCTCTCTCTCCCTCCCTCCCTCTCAGAAATAAGAAATAAAAGGTGTTTTGTTTTTTTTTTAATTCATTTTATAAGCAACCTCCACACCCAACGTGGGGCTGGAACTCACAATCCCAAGATGAAGAAGTTGCACGCTCCACTGACCAAGTCAGCCAGGTGCCCCCAAAAATATCCCTTTCAGATGTTTTCCTAATGTTTATTTTTGAGAGAGAACACAAGTGAGGGACAGGCAGAGATAGAGGGAGACAAAGAATCTAAAGTGCAAAGTTTGACATGGGGCCCAAACCCATGAACTGTTGAGATCATAACCTGAGCTGAAGTTGCACACTCAATCGACTGAATCACCCAAGTGCCCCTAAGAATTCCCTTTAAAATGAGGAACAAAGGGCCCCTGGGTGGCTCAGCTGGTTGAGCATCCAACTCCTGATTTCGGCTCAGATCATGATCTAAGGGTTGTGGCCTCAAGCTCCAAGTAGAGCTCCTTACTGAGTATGGAGCCTGCTTAAGATTCTCTTTCTCTTGAGCCTAAGTGTCCATCAAAAGATGAATGGATCAAGAAGATGTGGTTTATCTATACCATGGAATACCACATGGCAATGAGAAACAATGAAATCTGGTCACGTGTAGCAACATGGATGGACCTTGAGGGTGTTAGGCTGAGCGAAATAAGTCAGGCAGAGGACAAATATCATATGTTTGCACGTATAGGAGGATTAGGAGGAACTTGACGGAGGAACAAGGGGGAGAAGAAGGGGGGAAATGGTGGGGGAAAGGGAGAGAGGCAAACCATGAGAGACTCTTGAATGCTGACAAAAACTGAGGACTGATGGATGTGGGGGGAGGGGGGATGGGCATGGAGGAGGACACTTGCGGGGATGAGCACTGAGTGTTATGTGGAAACTAATTTGACAATAAACTATTTGTTAAAAAAAAAAAAAAAAAAGATTCTCTTTCTCTTTCTCTCTCTCTCCACCCTCCCCTTCCTGACTTGCACATGTTCACTCTCAAATTAAAAAAATAAAATATAAAATGAGGAACAAAACAGGCACACCTGCATCAGTCCTGTCTGACACGCCACTGTGGCTCTGGCCACAACTATAGCCTGGGGCACTGGGGGGACCCAGGGGGAACCCCTCCTTGCTCAGCTGCAGGGGACTCCTAGAACACAGCACCAGAGCAGCAGGAAGTTCAACCAAGTTGCCAAATACAAGCATTTCTGTAGAGCAGCTATAATCTGTTAAAATTATAGTTACATAAAAAAGATGCATTCACAAAGCAACCAAAAATAAAGCATTTAGAGGGTACCAGACCTCTCTGGAGAAAATCCCAGAACTCTAATAAATTACACAGAAGGTAAGTGGAATAAATAGAGACAGTTTCCATGGTCTTGGATGGGAACAGTTAATGAGGAAGAGGTTGGTTCTTCTCTTGTTAGTTCTAGAAATTCAAAGCATTCCCAATAAAAATTCCAGTTCCAAGTACTGAAAACCTCACTTAATATAAACTTATATGAAATAATTACCTTATGACGCTTGAGTAGGTAAATAAAGTTTTATAAGAGAATAAGAAGGGGAAGTTATCCTACCTGGTATTATGACACACTACAAGCCCAGCTCAGAAACACAATCACACACAGGAAAAAAGGTGGCTCCACAAATCAGTGGGAAAGGATGAGGCTGCTTAGGAGATGATGCTAGGAAACAGCTCCAGTGTATAAACAAAAATAAAACAAGGCTCCTATTTAACTCCCGACACAAATGTGGTGCCGAGATCTAAGCAAAAAAGATAAACCATAAAGTCCACAGGAGACTGTACAAACTGTCTCTATGACCTTGGAGGAGGAAAGAACTTTTAAATAAAATTCCAAAGCTACAATCCATAAGGCAAAAACTAATGAATCTGATTTCATTAAAATCTGACCTCATAAAGTTAATAAACACAGGGGTGCCTCACTCAGTCAGCTTTCTGACTTCAGCTCAGATCATGACCTCATGGTTCATGATTTCAAGTCCCACATCGGGCTCTGTTCTGACAGCTCGGAGCCTAGAGCCTGCTGCAAATTCTGTGTCTCCCTCTCTCTCTGCCCCCTACCTGCGCCCCCCCACCACCTGGATTCTCTTTCTCTCTAAAAAAAAAGGATTAAAAAAAATTTTTTTTTAAGTTAACAAACACAAGAGAACAGGAAAAAGTATTTACAATGCACAAAACTCACCATGACATCTCCCAGGGTCAGCTCTTGACCCACAAAGACCCACTGCCCCCACATCCACAGCTTCCGGCAAGGGCCCGGCCAGGCAGGTGCGGACCAATGATGCAGGGGGAGGGGTCCCAAGATGCAACCTCACCTAGTCCAGCCACACTGCTGTGGTTCTCCAGCATTACTTCCTTGTAGAGGGCTCTCTGGCCAGGGTCCAGGCACTGCCACTCCTCCCGCGAGAAGTGCACGGCCACATCACCAAACGTCACAGCCTCCTGAAAAGACACCCACCAGCACCCCAGGGAAACCTGGGTGCCAGCCCCACTCTGGTTCCACCTCACGGTGTGTCTCTGCCACAGGTACCACAGGGTTGGGCAAGCCGGTCACCAAACCCCTTTGGCTCTAAGGTCGAGGGGAGTGGGCAGTACGGAGGTGGGGGAAGCAGCCAGACCTACAAACCTCCCCCCACAAGAGCCTCAGCTGGGCCCCAGTCTGGGCAGAGGATGGGCTTGCCTGAGCTCGGGAATGGCCACAACTAGGGGCCAATGGAGGGTCTAGGCCGAGGCCCAGTAGGCACGGTAGGTTCTTAGAGGAAAAGGTAGGGGCCCTCACAGGGCAAGTGAGGGAACGGGGGCAGTCAGGCTCCTACCATGAGGCTCGGCGGGTGGGCATCCATGTGTCCTGGGTGAGACCTGTTGGCAGTTACGAAAGGGTCAGAGGTCAGGGTACTGGAGGACCACTAGCCCTGACTTCCCGGCTAACTGAGAGGGTGCGGCGTTCTTTCTCCAACCCTTTACCTCTAACCCAGATGTTCGTTAGCAAGGACATGAGGTGGAACCAGCACAGCCACAGCGCTGAAGGACCTTCCCCCGCCCCCCCAAAGCTTCGTCTGTCAGAGCGTGTGGTGGGTGGGAATCCACAGATAACACAAGGGGTGGCTGCCACACATGATGAGTGCTAGACTAAGCAACGGGGTTGCAGCAGTGCACGATGCTGGAGAACTATGCCATCATGAAGCACAGTCTAAAGACTTAACTACACAAACACAACATCACAACCACGATCATGCCCCAGTGCAAGAAAACTCTGAAAGCATTTAAACTAGGGAACTCTGTTTTAGGGTGATGGGTCACTTTCCAGAGAGCTAACTAGGCCAAGGGGATGGAGGTAGGGAGGGCACTAAAGGCAGCAGGGAAGGCATGTGCAAAGGGACCGAAGCAAGAAAGAATGGGCAGAACGAGTCCGTGGAGCTGCTTCCAAGCAGCAAGGGGAAGTGGTGGTGTGACCGAAGATGAGGCCCGCTGAGACCAGCCGTGGATTACAGGAAGAAAAGGAGCGGATTCAGGAACGCTCTCCCGCTCCCCAACAATCTACATAAACTTGCCCCCATCCCCAGGCTTTCCCCTAGGCAGCCTGAATGAGAAGTGGGCTTCCTAGGGGGAGCTTCTGGCTCAGAAAGTGGCTCGTGGACGAAGCTCCAGGCCACGAAAACAGTGAAGCTGAGCCAGGCAGTAGTGAGCACCGTCGGGTGGGCCCCCACCTGCGACGGGCCAAGAGTGAAGCTAGGAGCTCTGGATCCCAGGTCCCCAGTAATAAAGGACAGGCCCTGAGCGACGGTCAGAATTCAGAGAAAGCAAACACCCCACCCTACCCAAGACACGGCCCTTTTTTACCACTGTCTCTAATTTCGGTCTTCCACAGGCGGTGAATGAGGGGAAGGGCGCACTCGCGCTGTGGTTATTCAGAAAGGAAGAGGATCAGGGATCCCCCACGAGCAGGCCTACAACTGGTGGGAAGGCCGCGGGGTAGATCCCGCGCCGGGCCTGCGGGACTCGGCCAAACGCCACCTGCCTCCCTGGCCACGGTGGCCGCAGCTCGACCACCTCCCCCGCCAGGCGCCCATGGCTTCCCCAAGCCGCTCGCGACATCCGCACTTCCCAGCGGGGAGGCAGGGGATCGCGGGGCCCGCGGGGCCCGGCCAGCGGGCACTGCGCCCGACAGCGATGAGCCCGCAAGGCGCCCCGACCCGAGTCCGCGCCCGACGTGCCCACTCACCCTCCCCGTGCGCCGCCCGAGGCTCGAAACGCGGGACAAAACCGGAAACGGGCCTCGGACTCACGCCCCCTCTTCTTCTCCCGGAATTCCGGCCGGTCTGGGAGGCTCGGAGGCTCGGCCGTCTCGATGGTTCCCAGCCGCGCAGCCCCGGCGCAGGAGAAGGGGCGGGGCTGGGGTCGAGGGAGGGGTGGGCCCGGCGTCTCACAGCCGGGGATGGGGGAGGACTTGCCGGCCGAAGGGTGGAGAGGATCCTGGCGAAGCGGGTGGAGAGCCTGGGGTCGCCCGGGCCCGACCCCGCATACCTCTTATCGCCTCGGGGACCCCGGACCCCGCACCGGGTCTGTGCCCGGGCTTTTCTACAGAAGGCGGCTCCCGCTGGGCACGTTCCAGGCGCCGGACCGGAGACGCCCGGACTACGGGTGGAGTGGGCACGGGGAGGCGGCTAGCTGGGGAGGAGGGCAGAGGAGCCGAGTGGAGACCGCAGGTATTGTCTGGGTGGTTGGGGCACGTGGTCCGGGCCGCGGGCACCGCTGAAGCTGGGCGGGCGGTGCAGGGCACCCACAGCGGAAGACTGCTCCCCGGCTGCGGGAAGGGCGGGGCAGAGAATGCGCAGAACTTTTTCCGGGGAAGAGATCTAACACTCCACTTGTCGACGATCCAAATATCGGGGTCCCTGACAGCCGCGGTGAAATCTGGCGCAAACCCACAGAAGCAAACGGGCCGAGCCAGCCCTCCACCCCCACCCCCACCGTCCGGACTCCGAGGGTGAGTCCTAGGGAAAAGCGCGCCTTGCGGGGTTCTCCGGAAAGATCAGCTCCTTTCCCGAGCCTCTCGGTCCTAGCGCTCACACCCTGCAACACCGCCGCTCCGAACACAGCTTCACCAGTCCCACATCCTCTCTGGTTACGCACAGGGAGCATCTGTGCAAATGATGAATAAACGAGTGAATGGAGACTAGGGAAGGACATGCCTGCTTCCCAGCCGTCCTCCAGGACCTAATCCCCAACCTAGAGCTTCCAGAAAGAAACCCGGGTACGCTGAACACACTTCTGGTCCCACCTAGTGGGAGCTTTCCAACCAGAGAGTCTTCACACAGCACAATCCAAAACTGAGAGAGTCCTGGCCCGCCTGCTCAAGGTGGGTGGGTGGGCTCATGCCCAAGATGACAGAAAGGGCAAGGAAGGGGAAGCAGAGCTGACTGGTGGGTCTGCAGACCCTTAGGACAAAGCTATTTCAGCCAGCACGAGAGCCCGGTCCAGAGCATCCACCCAGCACACACCTGGGCAGTGTTGGGGGTGCAGATACAAAGGTGCTAAGGCCCTGAGGGTGGTTCCTGGGGGCAGGAGTGATGGGGATCTCTTCTATGCACTGCAGGCCATTCCAGGACCTCCATACCCCAGTCCCACCAATCCTCACTGAACCCAATGAACAAACCAACCAACTGTTCATAGCCAGAGACCTAAACACTATAAATGGTCAGTGTCCCTTCTCTGAGCCAGCTGAGTGCTTTCCAGCTGTTTCCAGCCTGGGGACAGGATTCCACATCATAAATGTAACTAGAGAAAAAGCCCACCTTAATCACTTAGAAGAAGATGGGTTTCCAAGGACGCTTTCTGTATCCTAGTAGGTAGGCCAGAGCAATAATGCTTTCAACAAACTGGAACAGAACTCCTCCACAGGCCATCGCCATCCTTGGTCATTCAGGAGTCTCATGATGTGCTACAATGTGCCTACGTCTTTTTTTAATCAGCTATGGTAAGACATGCAGACCCGGAAATTATTATTATGAAGGAAGACAATTATATTCAGGTCTCTAGTAGGGAGGGCACGACATGAAGGGCCATACTGGGAAGCACCAGCATAGGTCAGGAGGCAGGAGAGGAGGGGACAGTGTGGCCCAGAGCCTTTATTGGGGTTTCTGCAGGAAGGAATGGGCAATGTGGGGCAGGTACACTAAGTAAAATGAGGATCAGCTAGTTTGAGTAATTTCAGCAAGTTCTAGGGTAGAAGGGTGGTTTCTAATGATCTCATAAGTGGCTTTGGGATGAATTAGGGCAGGAACAGCTTTGGCGTGGGGTGTGAGTTTGATGAAGGAGATAGGTGGCAATGTGGGCTCTGGATTTGTTGGCTTGTATCAAAGCCTTGCTCTAAAGGGATCTTTGCTATTTCTAGTGAATGCCTTCTAGGTCTAGGCCTGCTTGGCCCAATAGCTGGTGGGAGGAACCAATAGACCCAAGGGCCCTGCACAAAAGCAATTTCCCGAATCCCCTGACCATGGAAGTGTTACCTGAGGAAGTCAGGAGCTGGGAATCCTGAAAGCAAAAAGGGAGCTGGAGGTGGGTGCCAAGAGGGCCCGAAGAGGTTGGTGACGGGGCCTGTGCCCAGCACAGAGACCTTGTCCCCACCCTCCTGTGCTCTGCATCTGCACCAGGCTCTTCCTAAGGCCCCATCTACTCCCTCTCCTGACTCCTTTTCTCCTACTCAGGCCCAAGTACCTCAAAGGCAGAGCCTGTGATGTTTCCATCCTGCATCTCTTCTGTGCTCAACAAGGACCACATGCTCAACGGAAACTTGTTTGAAAGACTGAGTAACCTCTGAGTCAGCCAACTTATTTTTCTTTAAAGGTACATAAAAACTGAAAAACAGGATTTTCAGAAATTATATGGATTTCCTTCACTCAGAACGGGAGTTCAAGGGGCGCCTGGGTGGCTCAGTCAGTTAAGTGTCTGACTTCAGCTCAGGTCATGATCTCACGGTTTGTGGGTTTGAGTCCCACATCGGGTTCTGTGCTCGCAGCTCAGAGCCTGAAGCCTGTTTCAGATTCTGTGTCTCCCTCTTTCTCTGACCCTCCCCTGCTCATGCTCTGTCTCTCTCTGTCTCAAAAATAAAAACTATTTTAAAAATTTAAAAAACGGGAGTTCAAGCTTAATCAGAATGGAATTGAAATATGGAAAAACATGGCTGATGTGGTACTCAGAGACGTGCCTTTTACAAAATTCACTCTACCAGATGTCACTGATACTCTTGGATTCTTTTTCAGAGGAAAGCTGCTTCCTGTTAGTGTCTGTTTGAATACTGCAGTTTAAAAAAAAAGGGCTCACACCCATTAGGATTGCTACCATCAAAACAACAAAACACAAGTGTTGACGAGGATGTGGAGAAAGGGAACCGTCGTGCACTGCTGCTCGGGGTGTAGAATGATGCAGCCACTGTAGAAAACAGTACAGAGGTTCATCAAAATATTAAACACAATTACTTTATGACCCAGCAATTCCACTTCTGGGTGAATACACAAAGGAACTGAAAGCAGGGTCTGGAAGAGATGTTTGTACACCCATGTTCACAGTGATATTAGTTACAATCGCCAAAAGGTGGAAGCAATGCAAGTGTCCATGGCAGATGAATGGCTACAGGGAATGTGGTCCATCCATACAATAGAATAGCAAATATTACTCAGCCTTTTAAATGGAAAGAAATGCTATCACATGCTACAACACTGATAAATTCAGACGACGTTATACTCTTGTGAAATAAGCAGTCACAAAAGGACAAATACTGTTTGACTCCACTTAGATGAGGTTCCTAGAGTTGTTCCAAACATAGGAACATAGTGTAGAATGGTAGCTACCAGGATCTGGGAGAAGGGAATGAAAAGAGGTCTCAAGATGGATGGTTGTGATGGGTCCACCATATGAATACACTGAATACCACCAAACTGTACACTTAAAATGGTTGAGATGGCAAATATTATGTATATTTTACCACAGTTTTTAAAAATAATTGGAAAAAATTCAGGGCTGAAAATTGGCTTTGTGCTTTGAAAAAGGGCACCTCTTCAAGTACATTCTTAGCTTACTTGGTGAGAAAACCACACTTTGCAAATACTTCAAGGATTTGCTAACAAGATCACCAGCTGATGCTTTTCCACAGGCTGGAGGCATGGGGAAACCTACGCTTGCTTGCTTGCTTGGTTATTTATTTATTTAGTTTGTTTATTTAGTTAGGGGGTGGGGAGAGAGAAAGACAGCTGGGCAGGGACAGTTTGGAGCCTGACACAGGGCTCCATCCCACAAACCAAGGTCATGACCTGAGCTGAAATCAAGAGCCGGAGGCTCAACCAACCAGCTAAGCCACCCAGGTGCCCCAACCTAAGCCTTTAAAGGCCTTTTAACTGATTACTCCAGACCTACCAGGGTACTTAAAATCAATTGATTCGGTGCTTTAATCACACCTGCAAGATCACTTCACAGCAGCCTGTGTCTTAGTGTCTAAGTACCAAGTAGGTGTGTGAGCTGCAAATGACCACCATTTCCTTCCTCCTGCACAGCCTGCCACTCAAGAATTCACCTGAAAAGGAAGGATGGACACAGTGTGGACATAGTGTATGTAGCCTGGCTACTTGACACACTAAAAGTCATTTCAAACACTAGAATAATCCTGTTTGTAAAAACACAGACACACGTATGCTGAATATTTGAAACACAAAGAAAAAAAGTCTGGAATGAACTACCCAGACTTAACAGGTGTTTGTCTGGGAGTATGGTGGGAGTGTGGGACAAGGGAAGAGCAGGGGCTTTTATTTTCTATTTTTGTACTGACACTTGTTTTTTTTTTACTGTAAATATGGAGTATTTCTGTAACTTAACTAAAGTAATGTTTTGTAAAATCCTGGGGTGGAGAAGGCCTTTCTAATCATAACAGGACAGATAGTTTTGGCCATAGGGAACATTTTTTTTTTTTTTAATTAAAAACCTTATAACTAGGGGCGCCTGGGTGGCTCAGTCGGTTAAGCGTCCGACTTTCGCTTAGGTCATGATCTCGCGGTTCGTGGGTTTGAGCCCCGCGTCGGGCTCTGTGCTGACTGCCAGCTCAGAGCCTGGAGCCTGTTTCAGTCTGTGACTCCCGCTCTCTCTGATCCTCCCCTGCTCGCTCGCTCTCTCTCTCTCTCTCTCTCTCCCCCCTAGAAATAAATAAAACATTAAAAAAAATTTAAAAAAAAACCTTATAACTAAAAGCAAATAAGGAACTGGGAGAAAATGTTTGTGACATATCACTTCCTGAGTTGTAGGAAGCAGCCTCCATCCCATCTCCACCCACCACCAAAAAACCTGTGGGTTGTAGCACAATTGAAGAAACAGATATTAAGGGAAAGGGATTGGAGCTCAACACAGAGGCTTACAAACCTAATAAAAACAGATACAAGGGCTTACAGGCAATTTACTCATGAAAAGGCCAGGAAATATAAACGAAAACAAGGGTGGCATTTTTCATGATTAATCAAATGATTAAAAACATCCCTCCACGGGGCGCCTGGGTGGCTCAGTCTGTTAAGCGTCCGACTTCAGCTCAGGTCATGATCTCATAGTTCATGGGTTCGAGCCCCACATTGGGCTCTGTGCTGACAGCTCAGAGCCAGGAGCCTGTCTTCAGATTCTGTGTCTCCCTCTCTCTCTCTGACCCTCCCCTGCTCATGCCATCTCTATCCCTCTCTCAAAAATAAATAAAACGTTAAAAAAAAATAAACCAACAAACATCCCTCCACAGCCCTACCCCTGATGGGGAAAGTCCACCTCAGCCACAAGGAAGGCACACGGACACAAGCAAATGTACACATGCCTGCTACGGGGCCAACAAATACAGTGAAGGTGTGGGGCAAGGACAGGTGTATGACAATGAGGGGTCTGCTACGGAAGCCATACGAGGAGGCAGATGCACAGGCAGCATCCAGTCAGCAGGGACGTGGTTCTAAGCAAAGTAAGCCCTGATTTGTAAAACGAATATCCATACATGTGTATTAGAAAGAGGCTGTCAGGGGTGGGGGGAGGGCACCTGGGTGGCTCACTTGGTTAAGCGTCCAACTTTGGCTCAGATCATGGTCTCACAGTTCGTGGGTTCAAGCCCCATGTCTAGCTCTGTGCTGACAGCTTGGAGCCTGGAACCTGTTTCAGACTGTCTCCCGGTCTCTCTCAACAATAACATTTAAAAAATTCTCTATTGGGGCGCCTGGGTGGCTCAGTTGGCTAAGCGTCCAACTTCGGCTCAGGTCATGATCTCATGGTCTGTGAGTTTGAGCCCCACATCAGGCTCTGTGCTGATAGCTCAGAGCCTGGAGTCTGTTTCGGATTTTGTACCTCCCTCTCTCTCTGCCCCTCCCCTGTTCTCTCTCAAAAAAAAAATTTTTTTAATTTATTAAATAATTTTTTTTTTAATTAAAAGAGGCTAAGGGGGTGCCTAGGTGGCTCAGTCGGTTAACTGTCCAACTCTTGTTCCCGGCTCAGGTCATGATCTCGTGATTCGTGGGGCCAAGCTCTGCTGAGAGCACAGAACCTGCTTAGGATTCTTTCTCCTCTCTCTGTGCTTCCCCAACTCATGCTCTAAGATAAATAAGCATTAGAATAAAAAAAAATTTTTTAAAGAGGCTAAGAAAACACACCAAACATCACAGTAGTGATCTCTGCAGTGAGACAAAGGGCAATTTTTTACATTTCTAAGTTTTTGCATTTCCCAAATGTCCTACAATAAATTTATATTTGGGGGGAAATGATTTTAAAAATTACACACTTACTGGTCAAACCTTCAGCTCTGCTTGGGGCTGGTTGCTTCCTTTCTGGCACAATTTTTATAAGATGCCGCAGAAGCTCCTCAGTGTTCTCAGGGCTCCTGGAGTGGGGAAGCTGATGAAAAGCGGTCACTAAGAGATGGCCTCCCTCACCAGTGGGCACCTGGGAAGCTTCTCCCCAGTGAACACCTTCTGTTGACAGGCCTGGCGAGGGATCACACTCAGCCTGGCTGGGGCTCTGGAGGTACTGCCTGGGAGCCTGCAGACCCCACTCCCCAGTCCTGCTTCAGCCACTACCCCTCCAGCTTTGCCCTGGCTCGTCAACAAGCCCATGGTCCACCTGAGAATTCCAAGCACCCCAATGCCAGGTGCTGTGTGGATTCTAGTCCTATGCCCCTCCTTCTCCCACTAGGTGGCTGGGTCCCCTGCAAACAGTTTGATTTTGCAGGATTTTGGTCAATCCTAATAACAAATGAACATCCAAAAAAAAAAAAAAGCCAACAGATTCCCCACCCCCAACCCGTCAATATCTGGAAAACAGGAGTGGAAAGAGAAAACCAACCCCACCCGCAATCCCCACTTGATGTATTGAAGCCTGCGTGCGCCTCCAGGCACAGACTTGGATGGTTCAAAAACGCTGCTCTCCTGTGGGCCTCTGGGCTCAAAGTCGTGGGGGGACCCCCTCTGGCCCGGCCTTCCTCACGGCCCCTCCCTCAGGCTGCTTCACCACCTTCTCGACGCCCTGCCGCACAGCCGAGCAGGGGGCACTGACAGCGTTCTGCCTTGGGGCCCCTCCTGGCATGGGTTCACCGCCTTTTATCAACTCCACAGGGAGCCCAGTGGGGCACCCGTCTGTGCTCCCCAGCGCCCCGCGAGCCCTCGGGTCCGTGGACTTTCTGGTGTTGGAGAAGGGCTGAGAGCCGGCGGCAGGCCCCGCCGCAGGCCCGGCACCGGTAGGGCCTCTCGCCGCTGTGGAGCCGGTAGTGCTCGCTCAGCGTGTAGCTCCCGCGGAAGGCCTTGCCGCACTCGGTGCAGGCGAAGGGCGTCTCCCTGGTGCGGGTCTTCCGGTGCAGGGGGAGGCTGGGCTTCCGGCTGAAGGCCCTGCCGCATTCCCCGCACGCGAACGGCTTCTCTGGTGCAGAAGCAGCAAGGACTTGTGTTTGAAGGGCTTCCGGCACACGGGGCACTCGAACAGCCTGGCGCCCGAGGCGGCCCTGCGTGCGGCGCCGCGCGGGGGCGCCCGGGCCCCGCCGTCCTCCCGGGGGCTGTCCCCGGCGTGCAGCCTGTGGTGTTTGAGGAGCGAGGCCCCGCGGATAAAGCGCTGCCCGCACCACTGCAGGCACGCGTAGGGCCTCTCCCCGCTGTGGATGCGGCGTGCTCGCTGAGGGTGAACCTGCGGCCGAAGGCCTTGCCGCACTCGCCGCACTCGTACGGCTTGTCCCGCGCGTGGACGCGGCGGTGCGCGCCCAGCTGGGTGCTCTGCCGGAAGGCCTTGCCGCACTCGCCGCACCGGAAGGGCTTCTCCTCCGTGCGGATCAGCTGGTGTCTCAGCAGGATGGAGCTCTGCTTGAAGGCCTTGCCGCAAGCACACCTGTGCGCTCTCTCCCCAACGGCCTCCGCAGGGCCCGAGCCTGGCTGTTTTGCCTCCAGGGCACCCAGGGATACGCTAAGTTCCCCACCGGGGCCGCTTGCCTGGGGGTCGCGGGGTCGTTTATCGGGCTCATCTTCAGGACGGCCATTCCTCTCCTCAGGGAGGCGCCCCCAAACTGTGCCCAATAGTCCCAACTGCTTAGAGGACACTCTCCTCAGAGAAGACTCCTTGACCCCAGCCTCCACCCTAGAATCTGGAAGAATAAACAGGAAATGGAAAGATGACCTCACCTCTATATTCACGAAAGGAACTCTGATTTGAAGACAGAATCCTTATATCAAAGAAGTAGGGAGGTTCGGGAACTTCTCACAACAAAGAAACCGTAAAATCAGGGTTTGTATAAGAGGATCCAAAGGAAGGTTAAGCACTGTGGGAGGTTACCTCAGGAGGGAAACTCATGACCAGGGAGGGGCATCAGGAGGAGAGGGGAGGGCACAGCTTGGCCCGAAGTACTGGGGCAGAGGTAGGGGGTGGGGGGTGGCAGTCTTGATGCAGGAGTAGGGCCTGCAGTGTGTGGGGTACTGCCATCCTGTGCTTCCCTCTTCCTCTGGGCACTCACCCACAGTTCATCCACTCGGTAGACATGTTAGGGTCCTGCCTATGCAGCCGCCATGGACGACAGGCCACCTCTCCTCCCTTTCTGCAGCCTCTGCAGCCCCAAGCTCAGCCCTTGGCATGTGAGCCACAGGATGCTGGGAGAATCAAAGCAGCTCAAGGGTCTTCCCTGCTGGGTCCTCTCACACTCCCTCCCCCCCAGATCTGCCCCGACACCTCAGAGCACCAGGAAGGATATTCATGCACTTGCGTTTCTTGTACAAGTTAGTCTTGGGTGACCTTGGATGACAAGCAAGGTATTTAGTAGGAAATCTGGCCATGCTGGGAGGAGCCAAATGTATAGTCTTCCAAGCACCAGGGAACTACAAGGAGCTGTGTGAAGGCCAGGCCTTGCTGTGCCTTGCACTTACCTGGGCACAGGTAGGCTATGGTCTCTGGCTCCTCAGCCACCTGCAGAATCAAAGCCCCTGGCTCCTCCCCTTGCTCCAAGAGGGAGATCAGCGCTGGTTTGCAACAAGAAAGCCTACATGCAGGGAGGAGAGCAGCACGCGTCAGGGAGCAGGAGGAAGGAAGGATGTCCGGCTGCCTGAGGCCTCAGAGGACACACACTTGGAGTGGGTAGGGAACACCTACTTTCCCAGGAGCAGGGCAACTGAGTGGCCATGGAGGGATGAGAGGGGACCCCTCCAACTTCCCCTCCAAACATGTGAGACTTCGAATTTAGAAAGGAACCAACTCCCCCAGGAGGCCGGTGGAAGAAGCAGGGTTGTGTCTGAGCCCAGCCCCAGGATGGACAGGGAAGCCTCACCCAGTGAGGCCACGTGCCCGTAGTTCTCCAGCATCACATCCCTGTACAGCGCCCTCTGGTCAGGGGCCAGGCAACTCCACTCTATTCTTGTGAAGTACACGGCCACGTCCTCAAACACAACGGCCTCCTGCAACCACAAACCCTGCTGTCTGGGGCTATCTGGCCAGGAGATGCGAAGACACGTCAGGGATATTCAGGCCACCTGTTCAGCCCCGGGAGTCAAGGCTTCTGTATGATCACTGCTGCATTCCCAAGGTCTGGCACGGGGCGGGAGGAAGGGGATACCTCAGCACTCCCAAGGAAAAGGAAAAGTGGAACAGTCCTGTTGCCAAAGCCATGGGAGAAGTGAGGGTCTCAACCTTGGCCTAGGTAGGGGCACCCTTGAGATGCTGGTGGCCGAGCCTCCACACCTGTGGGGAGAGTTCCTGTCCTGTTCTCTGGTTCTTTGCTCTTAGGAGAGAAGCCAAAGGCTGTGTGCACCAAGAAGGTCTGACCATTCACACCAGATGGAGGCAAGTGCTGGGGAGGGACAGGGATCCTGACCTTGCTGGCTGATCCTGGAAGCTCAGGGGCTGCAGAAGACCGTGGGCGGCCTACTTCTGCCCAAAGCCTCACGAAGGAGTTGACACAGCCATTGTGAGTCTTCAAAAGGAGGAGGCTGACCCTTGGATTACAGAATCCATCCCTGTGATCCACCTGCAGAAGTGGGAGCTACATGGGTAGGCCTGGGGCCCCCTGGGAAGGTCCTCAGGGCTGAAAAGCTGAGGATGGGGATGAAGGTAGCCAAAAGGCTCAAAGGGGACACTCACCTGGAGTCTGCGCGTCGCAAGTGGCACCGCCATTCCAAGGTCCCCTTCAGGGGAAAGGCAGGCGCTGGGGGCTGTGATTGTTGAGTAGAAAGAGCCCAGGCCTAAGGCCCATCCACCCCTGTCCCTGTTTCCCAAAAGGACCACCCAGATACAGAAAAGACAGGAAAGCATAAGACATGGGGCAAGGACATCCCGGTCAGCCCAGATGACCCCTCACATCCCAAAAAGCAGCAACCTGAGGCCTGCTCACCCACACCTGTGGAGGCCACAAGGCTCCACCTCTCACTCCTGATTTTCCCAGAAATGTCTTTTGGGACCATCCTACTTAAAATGCTACCCCCGGGTGTCGGGGTGGCTCAGTCAGGTAGGAGTATGACTCAGGTTATGAGCTCACAGTTCGTGAGTTCAAGCCCTGCGTCAGGCTCCATGCTGACAGAATGGAGAGTGAAGCCTGCTTGGGATTCTCTCTTCCTCTCTCTCTGCCCTTCCCCCACATGCATGTGTGCTCTCTCTCAAAATAAACTTTAAACAAATAAAATAAAATAAAATGCTACCTCCACCCCAGAATTCCTTCCCTATCCTCATTCCCTGTTTTATTTTCATCCACAGCACCTGTTGTCTGACATAATACAGTCAACTTACTTGCTTCTTATCCACCTACGCCCATGAGATGAGGCCTGCAGTCTGGTTATTCATGCTGTACCCCCAGGCTCTGGGGGAGGGCCCGATACACAGCATGTGCTCAGCAAGGATTTGTGGCATGAATGAGTGGTTCCATGACAGTGGGTGATTCTGCAGCCAGGAAAACCACGTTGTGGACACCAGAAAATGGTCTTACTACATTACTACATGAAATAAGCAGACTATAAGCAAAAAAATAAATCTGGCAGCACACACCACAGCCCATTAACCTTAGTTTCTTTCAAAGTAGTTCTTATTTTCCTTCTCATTTTTCTGAATTCTCTAAGACTTATTGCTTATTTTCAAATATGTGGTGCAGTTGGGGAAAAATTATTTAAAAACCAATAAATACAATTCTGCTCTGGCTAGGTGTTCAGAATAGACCCTGGTCTCTGTGTCCCTTCCTCAATGGACACTTGAGCTCCTGTGTTTGGGTGGAGGTACCTAGAGTACCCTTTTCTGCGGGGCTTGAGCCTCCTAAGTAGCTGCCTCTTTGTAAAGTGATGTCCCTTTTAGGCAACAGCAGAAATCCTGCGGTTATGATGCTATGAGGTGACATCTGGCAGGAAAGTCCTTTTAACATGTGAGAGTATAAGAGGCTACACCAGATGATCTGAGAGGCTTGGTGGGTCATCTGTGCCCAGACACACAAACGGCAAATGCAAAGAGCAGAGCCATACCACCACTAGACACCGCACCGGGCTCTCTGTCCAGGGCAGTCTGTGTGGACCATTGCTGCTGCCCCTGTTGACAGAGCTACTGTCCTCCTCAACCTCACAAGACAACCAGAGCATCTTATGAGGATGAGCATCTCAAGAGAAGACCTGGCTCTCAACTCAACATATACCCCTCTCCACAGTTAGGAGGGCATGTTGCCATGCTGGTCTGTTTGCTTATTTCTGGCGAATGCATGTCCTCAGCGAGGGGCCACCTGGGTAGAGGGGAAAAGACTTAATTTTAGTTCTACCTTTGGAACCAGGGAATAAGTTAATGTGAGAAAAACAGTGCTGAGTTGAAAACAGTGGAGCAGGGGATATAATAACAAAACAGATTAGGTTCCTGCTCAGAGTCCTGAGAGAGAAAATATGAAGCAGAAGGAGAGTGCTAACTTAGATGGGGGATCAGGGAAGACTTCTTGGCTGGGGGGAGGAGAGGGATGACATTCAATTGGGGCCTGGAGGACCAGCAAGAGTCATTCTTTCCCTCCAATTTAGAATAAAACTGTTCCTCCGGGGACTGGGGCACCTTGCTCCACTCCGTCACCTACCTCCTTGGGTACTACACTGCAGCCAAGCTGGCATTCTGTTACTCAAACTAGCCAAGGCCATTCTGGTGCACTTTCCTTTGCCTACAAGGGATTAGCAAGGACTGTCAGCTACCAGGTTTCAGTTCAAATGTTAACTTCTTGGAGAGAACTTCCCTGCCCACCTACAGCCACCCCTAACTTCTTATCTCTCACAAACCTATCCTCTTGGTTCATTTTCTTCATAGCCCTTGAAATGGATGGAGCCCAGCTGGGCATAGAGCTTGCTTAATTAACATTCTACTCCACCCCCTCTCGATTGCGGTCTCTCCCAAAAAACAAAAAACGAAACAAAGCAAAAACACCCAACTTTCTTACTTGTTTGTTGCCTCTACTGCATCAATGCCTCCCTTCTATTACAAACGGATGCTCCCTGAAGCCAGGAATGTTGCCCCTCACTGCAGTGTCGCCAGCACTAGAAGGGTCCTCAGGACGAGGTAAGTAATCCGAATGCCTGTGTCCCAATGAATGAGGGAAAGGGGGAAGAACCGCACAGGGTAAAGCGTGACAGCGAAAGGGCTGACAATTGGCTAGGAAACGAGGGTGCAGGGAGAGGCAGTATTTGGGGGTGGCCAGCCGGCAACAGCTGCTCCCCAGCGGGTGCACTCAGGCAGCTGCAGGCGTGAGGCCGCGGGGGACGCAGCCCGGACAGAACTGGTCCTCTCGAGTCTCCTACCCCTGCAGCTTCAGGTCTGCGCTGTCACCCAGGCTCTGGGGAGGCAAAGCTCGGGACCAGCCCGCGCTCTTGCCGCGCCAGCCGGAGGGAACGGGACCCCGGACCCTCCCTAAGGCCCAGAACCGAAGGAAAAGCGAGGGGGCGGCGCCGGCTATCAGCGCCCCCGCGGTGCTCCGCGCGGCCTCTGTGCAGACCACAGCCTCAGCCAGGCGGGGATCGGAGAGCCACACTCACCCCACTCCGGTCCCCGCCCCGCGGCCAGGCCTACTCACCCTGGGCCGCTCTCCGGGGCCGCGCGCGGGGGGCGCCGGGAGCAGTCGGGCCGGGCCGGGCCCGCCCCCGGAAACGGGCTCCAGCGCCGCTCTAGGAGGCTCGGAGGACCACGCTCCGAGGTGGGCGCCTCCTGGCTTCTGCGGCGCGCGCCTGGTGATGGAGAGGGCCGCCGAGGGCGGGGCGCTTTTCTGGACCGGATCCCGCGTGAACCCCCAAGTCAGCCGGGCGAGCCCACTGTGGGAGTCGGGGGTCCCGACGCAGGGTCCCCAAGCCTAAGAGCAGACGCGTCCACGCGAGACCTTGAGAAAGGCCAATAGAAAATTCGAGCATCATTCCAGGCAACCGGATTCTGAAGCAGCGACCTCTCCCTTTTAACTTTTTATTTTTACAGAATTACAAAATCAAGCAAGTTGCAAAGGCAGTGTGGAGAGGGCCTGTATATCCTTTCACCTTCTTCCCCTACAGTCTGAAAAAGCTTCTCTACGATTGTGTCTTTCAAATTTTTGTGACACAGTAAAAAAAAAAATGCTTTACAGTGTGACCCAGCACACGCACAAATCGCTGCTTAGGAGTAAATGGTTACATATATAATGATTTAAAAAGAATTTAAATAAACTACTCTTATGCAATGAAATCTCTTGTTTCTCTGTACATGTTTTCTTATTTTTTAAAAAAGGGCAAAAGCAGAGACCAACTTTTTGAAGAGGGACACAATAGCCGAAAATCTAGGAGGCAGCAAAGGAGGCATCTGTATTTTTATTTGGGGGCGGGGGGGGGAGAGCCTGGCTCAGTCGGTTAAGCGTGTGACTCAACTCAGGTCATGATCTCACGGTTGGTGAGTTCGAACACCGTGTAGGGCTCTGTGCTGAGAGCCTGGAGCCTGCTTCAGATTCTGTGTCTGCCTTGCTCTCTCTCTGCCCCTCCCCTGGTCACGCTGTCAATCAAAGTAAAAATAGGGGCGCCTGGGTGGCTCAGTTGGTTAAGTGTCAGTCCAGGTCATGATCTCGTGGTTCATGAGTTCGAACCCCACGTTGGGCTTTGTGCTGACAGTTCAGAGCCTGGAGCCTACTTCAGACTCTGTGTCTCCCTCTTTCTCTGCCCCTCTTCCGCTCATGCTCTGTCTCAAAAATAAATAAATGTTTAAAATTTTTTAAATTAAAATAAACATTAAAAACTATGTTTTATTTATTTATTTTTATTTATTTCTGAGAGAGAGGGAGACAGTGTGAGCAGGGGAGGGTCAGAGAGGGAGACACAGAATCTGAAGTAGGCTCCAGGCTCTGAGCTAGCTGTCAGCACAGAGCCTGTCGTGGGGCTCGAACCCATGAATCATGAGATCATGACCTGAGCCTAAGTCGGACGCTTAACCGACTGAGCCCCCCAGGCGCCCCAAAAAATTATGTTTTAGACAGAGTGCGAGTGGGGTAGGATCAGAGAGGGAGGGAGGCATAGAATCCGAAGCAGCTCCAGGCTCTGAGCGGTCAGCACAGAGCTCTGAGCCGAAATCTGCCACTTAACCAACTGACCTACCCAGGGGCCCCAAGAAAGGCAAGTAATTGCAAGTAATTGGCATTATACAAGCTACAGTATCTGAAAATAGGATATCAAATTTAGTTATGGTTAAATAGTTTCAACAAATATGCTTGGAAACTAAATAGCAACCTGCAAAATAACTCATGGGAGGAAGAGAAAATCATACCTGGAATTGAAAGAAAATGAAAATACTTTGTAGGATACTCACAAAGAAATTTATATGTATATACATACATATATATATAAAGATATACGGGCATACCTTGGAGATATTGGAAATTTGGTTCCAGACCACTGAGGTAAAGTGAATAATAGTAATAAAACAAATTAATTTATTGGTTTCCCAGTGTACATAAAAGTTATGTTTATGCAGTAGTCGATTAAGTGTGCAAGAGCATTATGTCTAAAAAAGCAACATACATACTTTAATTTTAAAATATTTTATTGCTAGGGGCACCTGGGCGGCTCAGTAGTTTGAATGTCTGACTCTCCATCTCATGGTTTGTGAGCAGGAGCCCCACATCAGGCTCTGCGCTGACAAAGCAGAGCCTGCTTGGCATTCTTTCTCTCCCTTCTCTCTGCTCCTCCCCTGCTCAAGCTTGCACTCTCCCTCTCAAAATAAATAAATAACTTTAAAAATAAAAACAAATATTGCTAAAAACTGTTAACCATCATCTGAACTTTGGGTAAGTCCTATCACTGACTACTATAATAAATAATAATGAAAAAGTTTAAAATATTTCAAGAATTACACAAAATGTGACAGAGACACAAGGGAGCAAATGGTGTTGGAAAAAGGACACCAACAGACTTGCTTAATTCACGGTTGCCACAGACTTTTAATTTGTAAAAAAAAAAAAAAAAAAAAAAAAAACCTGTATCTGCGAAACGTAGTAAAATGAGATACGCCTGTTTACATACACTTATAACCTTTCAGTGCATATATTCAGATAATGAAAGCATGCATGAAAGAACTGACTCTTCTTTTCACTTAAATTTTGTTTGGTTTGTCTCAACATGTATATTTTCCTTCATTTTTGTTTTGCTTTGGATATTTATATATAAGAATTATCCTTTACTCCAATTTTATCCCAGGTATTAACTGGGGCCCCCTTTTCTACTTGGAGATACAGAGTTGGACCCCACCCCTTTTCCGCAGCTTTTGGAGGTCCAAAGATATCCCAAGAATTTTTACCTGTTTTCATGCACACTTTCTTAAAAGTACAATATTTTTTGCCGGAGACTGAAACTGCACAGGTCAGCCCTGATGGCAAGGCCCAGGGAAGAGACTGCAATGCAGTCAGAAGAACCCCCGGAAGAATTCTTCTTCTCTACTTTGTCTGTACCTTTTACTCTCACTTCTGCTGTGAGTCTATTCTAGGGTTAATATGAAACCAGAATCATCCAAAGTTCCCCCCTTCCTCCAAAATGGAATGTACCTAAATATCATGTCTGCCCCCTCAATCAGATGTTGTCTAATAAATATTGTAGCAATTAGCAAAATTGGAGACAGTCCAGTATGCATTGGGTCTATGAGAGACCTAGAATTCATTTTCCTTGTATGAGTCTAATTGCCAGTAAGAATACATATTACGCCATAAGCAGAGACAAAAACAAGACTTACTAGTTGTGGAGGACTTTCTCAAAAAAGTGTTAGAGAAATAATTGCCTGCTGACCTCAAGCCTGTAAGGCAACTTATGGATTGTTCTCGTCAAAGAATGAGATTGGTAAATGCAGAGACCAAATTCTAGTTGATCCACGTAAAACATTTCCATACGTCATCTATGATAAATGTTGACATTGTTCTTTCTTAGTAAGGGGTTGTGAGAGTCTGTTACCTACAACTGCGGGTACAGGTATATCCTGTTTTTGCACGCCCACTGAACTTAAACAATTAAAGGGCACCGTGATCTCATGTATTCTGGCAATATACTTCACTTATCCTTAGATACCAAGACAAACGTAGTAAAGAAAATGTAAAACTTAGTTATGACTACCTGGTTAAATTTTATTGGTTGAAGTGGAAATTACGTACCATGAAATCACTGTTGCCAAGAAAACTTAGAAATGTTAAGTCCCATGACTGTACTCAAAAAATGTAAATTGTTTAAGCATGATTGTTTGAATTTGCCATATAAAAACCCTAAGCTGAAAAATAAATTTGAGCAGTCCACCTGAAGAGGCTGGCTCCGTGTCTTCTTTCGCCGATGCCAACCATCACTCTCCAGGCCAACCCTGGCTTGCAGAGGCTGGTCCTCTGCAATTTTTAAAAGTAGAATACATAGAAAGGAGTGACAAATACCTTCAGCACACTGCCCGGTGAATTTTCACACCCTGAACACCCTGTGAAGCTAGCATCCATGTCAACAAGCTGATTCTGTCTGGGGACCTCAAAGCCTCCTCGGGCTCTCTTCTGGTTGCTCTCAAAACACGTCTCCTATTGGTGCCTAAATGTGTTCACTCTGACTTCTTTAGCCCTGATGGCTTTTGTAGGTGTGCTTCATGTATCTTGTGTATATTCACTCAACTCTCACAATAACCCTGCGAAAGACAGTATTATTGTTCCTATATGAAAGAATAGTGTCCCCTATGAAAGAATAGAAGTGTAGTGTTGTTATTTGCCTGGGGGCAGTTGATATGGAGGTGGGGAGCCAAGTGGAACAAGACAGAAGAGTCATGGTCATGCATGTTTATACTAAATTACTCTTGTGTGTACCTGACAAAAATATTTTAAAAACAACTTTAAAAGAAAATTAAGAACTTCTAAGAATAAAGTTTGCAATGCTGGGAAGAGGTACCCTTGGATGGTACAGGAAGGGGGGAAGGGTGCCTATCTGGGGGTAGAGGCAAATGGGCCCCTCTTGAAAGCTTGAGAACCCCATGCCCAGTGTGGCTGTCCCTAGAGAGCCCCCATCTTTAGGTGACCCAGATTTGTGGAGTCCCTGCTGTGTGCCAGGCTTGGTGGCCTCTCACATGGAGATTGACATTCAGGCTATTGAGATGGGGCCAAGTCAGAGGTCTCTGGACTTTGAAGGCGGAGGACACCAGCCAGGACCCCCCTCTCTGCAAGGACAGATGCACTGAGCATGAGGCAGGGGCACAATAAATATCAGGCAAGCGTCTGTACCTCAGAGAGCCCCAGAACTGGTTACCCTCCCTTAAGTCCATGCTTGCCATCTCCAGGTAGGCCTTCAGGAGGAAGCATCCAAGCAGGCAAGCCCCCTGCCTCCCTCCCCCAGAACAGCACTTCTTGAGGCTTCCCTGGGCCCAGAACCCCCAATGAGGCCTCACAGCTGGCAGACATCCCCTGGAAATCTTGGGCTGGCAATACTGACCATCCCCCTATGGCAAGGCTCTGAACACACGTCCTGCAGTAGGCCTGGTTAGCCACCTTCTGGCTGCATTGAGCTCTAGGGTAAAGAGAAAGAGGGGGGCCCTCCCCACCATATCTCATCT